ACGTGCAGCTCCAGCATCCCGCCCCCAAGCACCCTACCATCACTCCCTCAGCACGCGTGTGGCCAGGGCTATACAGGCCATTCAAGTAAAACAGTGGAATCAACTTTATAGGAAGCCGCACGAGGCCCCAAATAACATTAGAAAAACAAATCTGTTCTACAGCTCTTCTCAGAGTTTAGATGTTGCAGGGAATAACAGGGTCAAAGCCTGGAGCCACATGAAGATGGGGTGGGGGGGCATCAGCCAAATTCTTGCAAAAGCAAACCAACTACTCTCGAACAGGACAGCTGTTAATGGAAACTTGATATTGGCAGGAAGTTATAAAGTTGAGATTATACTCCTTCCCTAACAGACATTCTGCATGCAAATATTTTTAGGAAAGGAAAGGGGAGTAATGCAACCTAGACAAAAAAGCAATCCGTGATGACTGTACGAAGCCATACAGACAGGTCACTGATGTGGGGAACAGGAATCCTACTTTGTACAGAAATGCGATCTCGCTGCAGACAGACTTCAGGGCCAACTTCTGAAGCACGCCTGCAGGAGACAGAGGACTCACAAGCACTCGAGGAGGAGGGGGAGAACAGCAAGACGCTCTGCTCAAAACCCCCTTGGCCACTGCCCCCGAGCAGAGCTGGATGTCATGGCCTCGGGGGCACACAGGGCTCCACCCTGCAGAAAGCCACGCCGGGGGTGGGGGGAGCTCCCCTCAGGGCTGGCAAGGGCAGCATCTAATTCTGTTAGACCAAAGAATCCTAATCAGAAGTCTTTCTGTAGGAGGAACACCAGACCTGGAGGGCACTGGAGGTGAATTCATCCCCAACCGGAGGAAGAAGTCCTACTAACCCCACACCTGACCCTCTCAGAGCAAGGGAACCCTTCCAAACCCGCTCCATGCTGAGACACTGCCCTGAATGCCAAAGCCTGACAAATGTACCACACGCAAAAATTACAGACCAACATCCCTCATGAACGTAAATACATCAAGTCTTAAAACAGCAAATTTAAGGCAGTACTGGGGGGGGGGGTGAAATGGGGTAGGCAGAGATATCACGAATTCTATGGTAGGTGCAGTCCAGCATCTCAAGACTAGTTTCACTAAATGTTAAAAACAAAACAAAACCAGGATTATGTTGACCCATCATACAAAAACCATTTGACAAAAATCCACCAGACTGAGGATTGGCAGTCTCTGGTGGCAGCATGCTGACTCGTGACATGAAGCCCCCCTCCCCATAACCGGAACAAGGGAAGGTGGTCTATTGTCACGACATTCACTCCCCACGCTGGAGGTTCCAGCCGGCACCAGGACAGAAATAAAAGGTATAAAGATGAGAGCAGAGCTGTCTTGAGTCACAGACCCAGTTCTCTATGGCAAAAATCCTAAGGAATCTGCAAAAACAGTTCCTACAACTAAGAATTCAGTAAGAGGACAGAAGATCAACATACCGAAAGTCAACAGTTACGTAACAGCAGCAAATAAAAAACAGTTTTAAATTAATTTAGAATAGCAAAATATCTGGAAATCAGATTTACAAAAGACCTACAAAATCTCCATGCTGGAAACTAGAATACTGAAAAAAAAAAAAAAAAGACAAGCTGAATGAATGGAGATAAACCATATTCATAAATTGGAAGGTTTGGGTTTGTTTTTTAAAGATTTTATTTATTCATTCAAGAGACACATTGAGAGAGGTAGAGACACAAGCAGAGGGAGAAGCTGGCTCCCCGCGGGGAAGCCGATGTGGGACTCAACCCCAGGACCCTCGGATCACCACGCCCTGAAGGCAGATGCTCAACCGCTGAGCCACCCAGGTGCCCCAAATTGGAAGGTTTTTAAAGTGCTCCACTGCCCCAAAAATGGTACACAGAGTCAATAAATTCCCAACCAAAATCCCAATCAATGCTGGACACCTTGATTCTTTAATATGGAAAGTTAAAAGATGCTGAAGCCACAAAAATCTTTAGGAAAAGCAAAACCAAGTTAGAAGACCTGTTACCTTAATTCAAGACTTATCATAAAGTCCACGTGTTTCTGGCATAGAACAGACGAAGAGGTCACTTGAGCTGCACAGAACATCCACACACACACACACACAATAAAAATTAAAAAAATTTAGAAAAATTAAAAGAATATCCAGACACACAGGACCTACACATGTACTGTCAGTTGATGTGACAAATGTACTGAGGGGATTAGATGGAGAAATGTTTTCCTCCTCCTCCCAAATAAGAAAACTATAGAGAAAAACTGAGTACTTCACAATAAGGTAATTCAAGATGATGGGTCATACCTAAACACAAAAGCTAAAATTATCAAGAAGAATTAGAAGAATCTATAGGAAAATATTGAAGTTACAGTAGACAAATCTTAAGGACAAGAAAAATGCTAAGAAAAACCATTAAGTTGTAATTCCTCAAAATTAGGAACTTTTTACAGGAGGACATTAGAGTACACACAAGCATGCAACTACGAAATACACAGGAGAACACGTGTATCTGAGGAAGGACGTGCAACCACACCACAAACAAGATGCCCATTAACAACGGGCAGAAGATTCATTCAGACCCCACACGAGGAAAACACAGCTGTGGTCAATAAGGTGATTAGAGCAAGTCCCCGGGATTTTAACAAGAACATTTCATACCCATTAGAATGGCTAAAATTTTTAAAAAGTACCACCAAGTGAGAGGGCGGAGCAACTGAAATGCCTATATTTCTAATGGAAACAAACATAAAATGGTTCAACTTTGGGAAAAGTTTTGGCGGCGTTTCAGGAGGTTAAACAAATGTTTGACGTGCAATCCAGCAATTCCCCAGCTAGGAGAGGACTCCAGAGAAGCAAAAAACGTATCCAAGGAGGCTTGAACGAAAATTTCAGTCTTACCCCTAGCAGCCAAGAGTTGGGACAATTCAAATGTCCGTCGACAGGAGACTTGATGAACTGTGGAGCATCCATAAAGGACTCCTCACCATGAAGGGGGATCCACTGATTAACACAGAGAATGTGGGGGGACCCTCAACATACTGTTGAGTAAAAGAATCCAGTACAAAAGAGCAGATCGTAAAACTTCACGTATATAAAGCTCAAGAACAAACAGCAAAGTTGACCAAGACAGAAATGGCAACAGTGGATGTTAGAGGATCTGAAACTAGTGAAATGCAAGGGAACGGCTGGTTTGGAGCGTCCTAGAGCTTGGTTTAGGTTGGCAGCCCTTTGGCTGTACACGTTCCTCAAAATTCCCAAAACTGTTTACTATGTAATGTTCACCTCAATTTTTTAAGTGACAAAATAAGAATTGTTAATTCTGAGTTTTCACACAGAATGCTTGTTATTCTGGAACGTTCAAATGTCCCATGACAAAGGTTACAGGTGTCAGACTGATTGTCCCCACCCCCCCCCCCAAAAAAAAAAGTCAGTCCCCACTTCTGCTACACACACAGTCCCTAATTTTGGCCAACGCATGACCACATCCTACGCCTCCCAGCCGGGCATGGCCACACGAGAAGGCGAATGTTAGAAGCTCCTTCTAGAAAGGGAGGTGGGCGCCTCCTTCCTTTCTTCTCTGCCTGGAAAGGTAGCACGGCCACTCGCGCCCCAGAGGCTGGCCCAAAGCACCAGAACGAGGGCCTCGGCCTGGAGACGCAGAGCAAAGCCAGAGGCAGCCACGGGAGCCAGCCTCCACGGCTGATCTGATCGAGGCGTGCGTCTTCACGAGAGACATCAGCTGCCTCTTCCTGAGGCCATGGGAGGAGCACTTCACAGCTGCACCTCCTCCAGATTCAGAGAGCAGAAACTCAAAATTAAGACTCATCTTGGTTCTAATTCTCATCTGCAACGGACAACGAACTAGATGCCAAGGTTTTATTTTCTTCCCCAAGTTCCCTTTAAGGAGTTTTTTTTTTTTCCTTAACGCAGAAAAGCTCAACAAAATTTGTGATTTATTGTGCAAGTGAATACGTGAGAGACAAAATGCCATTCCCTACGAATTATTTGGTGTCTGTGATTTTCTGAACACCATGGCCAGATGGTTTTCATAGAAAGAGAGAGTATTTGTACAGTTCAAAGGTTCACTTATTTTTTTGGCCTCAAAAAAAAAAAATAAGACTATTGATTATAACATGCGGCTCTACAGGAAAAAAATCTCGACACTAGAGGCGAAACCGGGTATTTATTACTGTGCATGTGCTCATTATGGTGGTCTCTGACAGGGGTCCATTAAAATCAATTTTTATGTTTCTATGTATTTTCTTTATCTAACGTTCTATGGCATTGTGTTGATTAGCCAGTTAAGACAAACACTGAGCAGGAGTGGGTGGGTCCTCCCCCCTTCTGTCAGAAATAATGAGAACTGCAATTTTAATACAGCAACTCACAATCAATGAATGGAGGAAATGTCATATCTCAGAACAAAACATTAAGGAGTGCTTTAAATTTTTTATGTTTTCACAATTAAGAGAAAATATAGCGGAGTTCTTTCAAAAGAGCAACATGTGTCCTGCTAGAAACGGCAAGCGCTAACGTCATGCTAGGAGGGCTCCTCCCACCCTTCCTGGACCACAGCTCTCAGGGGCCGGGGGGGCTCCTGATTCAGTAACTCCAAGACTTCCGTATAAAACTCACCGGGCGGACCTTGGACGATGAAGGCCGGTCCTGATTTAGAAGCACCAAGACCAGGTAAGCATCTCCCTGCCACCAACGTTTCCAGAGAGATTCCCACATTCGTTGAAGAATCAAAATAGTCAAGACTCATGCAGAGTCAACCCACTGCTCCATCAGCGTGTGTTGACCAGACGTCCCGGAGCCACGAGCTCCAGGTTAGGCTCCCAGGGTTAAGTGCACGTGGAGGGTGCTCGGTCTACAACACAGATGCTGGGAGAGGACAGCCAGCCCGTGGCTACGGATTAGCCCGTGACCCACGGTGGGACTAGCGGCAAACGCCACTGCTTTGCTGCTCTGAACAAATGCCACATGGCAGGGGGGACCCAAGGGACTCACCCGGGGTCCGGGGTCTTCCTGTCGTGCAGCCTTATCTCATGCAGACCCTGCGCACAGCCGGAGATCTCGATCTTCCCCAAAGGGCTGTCCATCGTCTTGTATCTCATCTTGCAGGCCTTGTCCATCCTCCCGAGCACCTATGAGAAAGGTTTTTCAAGCAAATAAGAAAGTCCACGTGAAAGACGTTGGTTCTTTTTAAAGCACAATGGGGCACCCGTTTTCTAAGACAAAACGTCTTCCAAAATCTGTCCCCGTTCTTGGGATTTAATCCTCCAATAGGTCCTCTTTGTAATCTACTCACTTGAGGAACAGAAAATGCCATAATTACCTGGAGCGGCCAACTGGTGGTGCCGCCCCTCTGCCTCCTGGGCGTCCTTACCCTGCTCCCAGGGCCAGGCGGTGGGGACCAGAGCTCCCCATGAGGGGTCCCCAGGACGGAGCTAAGCTGCCTTTAACAAAACGCTGACCGACTTCCTTCACCAACAGGTAGAGTGATTAAAACCAAGGCATCCTGAGGGGCCCCAGCAGGCGCGCAGCGGCACCTGCCCAGGCGGGGATCAGGGGCGCGGACGCGGCCTGGAATAAGCCCCGGCGCCTGGGAAAGCAGGCCCCTGACCTCGAGCGCCGGGTTCTCGGACGCGGTTTCCGGGGCAGGACTGTGAGCCCATGTGCTCTGCCTTACGATTTTCGGGACACGTTCCCTAGCTACGGCTTTTTTAAAGGAACACAGTGCACAATACGTAATCCGAGGGATACATAAAACACGTTCATCGGCGGTTACCAGTGAGGTCAGCAATCGGCTTTCAGAAAGGTTTTCGGGAGTCAACAGCCCCGTGGGGGTTTCCGACTGTGCCGGTCAGCGCCCCAACCCCTGATCCTATGATGGGTCCCCCTTGCTGATTCTGATAGCTGCTAATTTTGATCAAAGGAGCAAAGGCTGAGAAGAACCAAGGGATACCCCGGAACAGCGAGAAGCCTGAAGGCAGACCGAACCAGACCGAACCTGATGGAAGTCACTCCATGGGCGGGCAGCCAGGGCGCGAGCCAACAGCGGGCTGGGGGGGGGGGGGGCAGCGCACCCGGACCAGCGGCCCTCGGAGCTCCTCCTCTCCTGCAGCTCCTGGTCCTGCTCGCAACAGCCCCAGGGAGGCCGCCCGTCCCCTGACCTAAGAGCCCGAGCTTCCCAGCGCTCCCCGCTCCACCAGCGCCATCAGCCGTAAGCCGGAACAGCTGAAGCCCCCCACGCCAGCCCACCTGCCCGCCCACCTGCCCAGGGCTCCCGACCTGCAGGCGGGGCTGCTCTCCTGCTGCCTCCGCTTCCCTGTCCTGCAGGCCCCTCCCAGGAACGGTCCACAACCCCCAACCCCACACAGGAATGCTGTCCTCCACGGCTTCCCCGGGATGTTCCTGCGGTCCTGTGCACCCCCACCCCGCCCAGGACTTCGCCTCGGGACCCTCCCTCCCCTCGCCCTGCCTGCCCCCTCGCACACCTGCGCCCCATCAAGCACTGGCTCTACCATTGCCAACTCCCGCTCAGGGCCCCTTGTCCTCCCCGAGGTCTCATCAACATTCACACAGGAAGGGCTTCTTGGGCCACTCAGTACACCTGGGCCCTTCCCACCCCGCCCTCCCCTCCCCCTAAACAACAAGTCAACTGTCAATTACATGAAGGGGCTAGAGCAGGGTCAGCAAACTGCAGCCCATGGGCCACACCTGGCCACCAACCTGCTTTGTAAGTCAGGTTTTGCTGGGACGCTGCCCCACTCACTCCTCTGCACACTGGCTATGGCTGCCTTCCTGCTGCAGGGGGAGAGCTGACCAGGTGGGATGGGGCAGCAGGGCCCCCAGAGCTCAGCAAACCCGTGATGGGGCAGCAGGGCCCCCAGCACTCGCCCCCAGCCTTCCACATGCCCCTCAAAGTCCTGGCTCTTGCACCTTTCCTGCTCCATGCCCCCAAACTGGCCACCACCTCCCCACAGGCAGCTCGGGCTTTCCCCTTGGGGCCTGACCGTCCAGCCACCCCAAGAGGCCTGGTGTCTGCTTCACTGCAAAACCTCAACACACCCCACCACCCCCACCCAGGCCCTAATACCACACACTGACTCCCTCTTCTGTCTTCCCAGCAGCCACGGGACAGAAGTGCATTAACACCCCCAGACAAGGTCGGGCAGCGTTCCCCAAAACCACACGGTGCAGAAGGATCACCCCCGAGACTCCACCCTAAGGCCAGGCCTCCAGAGCCGCCCTGTCCCGAGCCCACTTCTCTGCGCATATTGAGATTCCTCTCCAGCTCCCAGTCCATGGACACGGTACTGTTCACCTGACATCAGAGACACACTTCGTATCATTGAGCACCCCAGCTTCCGTGGACCCGCAGTGCCTGAGGGCACCTGGCCACGCACGGGCAGGCAGCGGGTGGATGGTGGCTTCCCACTGATGGCCTGTCATTTTGCAAAAGTCACCTAAACTGAGCCACCAGTGCTTTCATCTGGGGATACCTACATCGCAGGGTTGGCGTGGGGATTAGCGGGAACGTGTGTCTACACTTGGCCTCCCAGAAGGATTCGGGATTACGGTTATCTCTGCCATAATCGACATTTCAACCATGTGCCCTCGGCCTTGTCCTACATGGCACCCTGTTCTCCTCTCCAACAGCATCAAAATCTTTACCATTCTTCAAAAGCAGATGGCTACCCCTCCTCCCGGCCCCTGGGGGGCCTTCCCTCATTCCTTGGAGCCAGAATCAACTGCTGCCCCCCCCCCACATCTGTGGGCACTTTCCTATCACCCGAGCCACTGGCAGATGCTGGACCAGGGAGTCGGCCTCCATGAGTCAGGGGTTCAGTTAAGACCAATGCATCACACGTGTAAGGAGTTTGTCAAATATCCATTGAACATGATGACCAGCATTCCTGCCACCCAGGCCAAGAGTCTGGCACAGCATCGCCCAGCGTGTGCTCCAGGGGACTACAGATAAAGGCTCTGGGGGGATGAGGAGCCTGGATGCACTAAGCCCTCCTGGGAAGCTCTGAGCACTGCCGCAGAGAAACCAGCTTATATTTACGTAGCTCTCACAAACATGTTCACCCCGAACCCGTGTCTCCTACCCTAGGCCCTGCTTGGAAGCTGTTTCTCAGCAGATCTGGGCTAAGGCGACCTGGCTCGGGCCTCAGATCTGCGGCAGAAGAAGCCACGAGCCCGTCTCAGGCACGGCTCCTAATGGCAAGCATCAGAAAGTGGTATCAGCTAATTTGAGCACAAAAGCGATTTACTGAAAGGCTGTTCCATAACTCACAGAACTTCTGGGAAGGCTGGAGAAACAGGCTCAGAACCAAGGAGCCAAGACTGGCCAGAACCCAAACAGAGCCAAAGCCGAGCCTCAGGAAACATCTGTGGGGCAGCCAGGGACTGCAGACACGCAGCTGGCACGGTGGCCACTGCTGCCCCTGGAAACAGGATGTTGCCGCCACCATCCACTCCCTGCTGCCCGGCCCCCGTGTCACTGGCTCCCGATTCAAGGCCTAGAATGTAGACCCTGCACCACTGCTCACACCGAACCAGAAGGATGAGCCAGTGGCTCACTTCCCTTCCCAAGACTCCGTTTTCTGCTGTAAGACAGCAGTAATGGTGCTAATCACACCGCCCTCGTGGGCTGTTCTTTGGGCCCAGCTGCAGAACAGGAGACTGAATGGAGTGGGGTGGGCCAGCCCCCACGCAGAGAAGGACCTCCGTGTGCACGGGGCACAGCCAGCTCTCACCCTACTGCAGGGAATGGGTGAAGACACACCCAAGTATGCAGCTGGGGGTCTGGGAGAGGGTCAGGGCAGGGTGGTGAAGGTTGGGGGGGGCATCATGAGGGCCCACTCTCCCATCTCTATCACATGGAGGGGCAGTCTCTAGGATGGGCTGGACTTGGGAGGCTGCTGGCCTCAAACACAGCGGAAGGCTTCCACGGTGGTCTCTGAACCAAATAACATCCATGCAGCCCAGAGCCTGTGTGTCTGAACCAGACAGGTGAGGCTCTGCAGCTCAGCCTGCCCTTGGCCATAGCAGCACCAACAGGTACCCCACGCCCAGCAGCGTGGTGCCGTGCCTGGTTCGTCCAGTCTAGCCTCACACGTGAAGGGCCGCCCCCCTCATCATGGTGAGGACCGGCTCTGATGACCTGCACAGCCGCCCGAGGCCACAGAACACCTGTGTCCCTCAGAGCAGGGACGCTCTATCCACATCATGCCCAGAACTAAAAAAATGGTCATCAGTCCGTAACCAGAGTAAGCGGGGACTTGAACTCTGAGTTCTGAGTGAGCGGCCTATGTCCCCTGTGGCCAGTCATGGGCCTGGGTGAAGCCTAAGGGATAGCTCCAGAGACCGTGACTGGTCCACAGAACTGACATCAAACCCGTTTTGGCTTCCTGAATGTGAGGATCTGCAGAACCACCTTCCCCAAGACAAAGGCCTGGTACCCACAGCCCCGTCCTAGCCGAGACCTGGCTGTCCTGTCCCTGTAGCCACCAGGTGCCCAAGCCCATGGGCAGACCCACTGCCAGAGATAATCACCATAAATAACCCCCTGCCTGCTATTTGCAAAAACAAAAAAAAAAAAAAGCAGCAATCTTACCAATGCTTTATATTAGCCCCGCCAGGAATGGAGCTGGAAACCAAACAGAAACCTACCCACACTTTCTTTCCTACAGACAAGCAGGACGTGAGGCACAGGGTCCTTCCACGGGCAAGAGTACAAATTAGCTGAATAAGAACACCCTAGAATGGAGCCGGAGACGTGTCCCTGGGACAGGAGCGCGAGGCCACCTGGTGTGCCAGGCAGCGGGTACACGGGAAGCCCCAGGCCCCGAGACAAGCGTGCTACCCCGGGGCAAGCACGCGACGCTGCATCACGTGTGTTCTCGGCTCTGCGTTGCCCTCGCGGGCATGTACCTGCGGCACAGGTAGCGGTTAGGCCACAGCTAACGAGCAAGGAGAGGCCTGCCCAGGTTTTAATAATAAAAAGAAAGTGCCAGACACCGTCTCCTTCCCCTTCGTCCTTCCTTGAGAAGGCGGATGTGCCTCCCGGAGCGGCAGCAACCACCTGGGAACACGAAGGACAGGCCACGAGACCGGGCAGCCCTGGCCCTGCTGC